GGTTAAAAAGAACTGGGGTTATTTATTCCCAGAGAAGAAGAGAAATCCAAACTGGGCCATCATAGCTGTCTCAAAGTATTTGAAGCACTATCATGACGGATAGAACTTGTCTTTGATCCCGATGGGCAAAACTAGGCACAACGGGTGAACGCTTTCTGATAAATGGAATTATCCTAAATTGGATATTATGGGTCTCCTCTCCCCCCAAACCCTCTCCCCCACCCCTCACTCCCCACCAAAAAATCTTCAAACAGGCTGAATAAGCATTTGGTAGGTATGTGGTTAGGAGGATTCTTGCTGAGCAGGGGATTAATTGAAATGACTTCTTAGGTCCCTTCCAGCTCTGAGTTTCTGTGATTGGTTATAGTTTCCATCTCAGTACTGAGACTATGTCATGTCAAACAGTTGGTAGATAATACAGACCAGACTTCAGTAAGTTGTGTATTTTGTCTTGAAAGTTTTTTTCCCCCTCTTGGGTATCTGTGTTTTTTCATCTCAAGAAGAATATAAACATGCTACTGATTTGGTCAAGGTTTAATTTAATGAATTTATAGCTTTACTTCATTTGACTTCAGTTTTAATGTTGGTTGTTAAAACATTGAACTAGCATAAAATGTAAATGGTGACAGCAAAGAAAATAATGTCTGAGATTAGTCTTATTGGATACTAGTTGGTCTGACTACATAAAATAGTTTTAACTTTCACAATTAGGATAAACTTTGACCTGAAACAATAAAGAAAGACTCTATAATTGAAGAATTCCAGACATAGTTCATAGGAGCGCAGATCTAGAACTAGAAGGTCCCTTAGAGACCATATATTTTATTTCAACTTCATTTGACAGATGAGGAAACTGAGACCCAGGGAGGTGAAATCATTTAGCCCCAGTCACACAGGGATAAAGTAAGAGGTAGGGTTTGAACCCTGATGCTCTGATTCCAGAGTCAGTGCTCTTTCTAATGTACCAAGTTGCCTCCCCTTAGTTTATTAGCAGTTTCTTCTACTACCTTTTAAAAATCAGATTTATAGGGCAGGGCTATTATAGGAATATCTAACAGTACTGCAACATGTCCTATTAAAAGAGGTATTGAAAAGAAGTCCAGAGTGATTATTTTCCCTGATTCTTATTGGCAAAGGGTTTCCATAAGGAAACATGTTGCAAGTGGTTCACTCCAAAAATCTATCAAGATTTTGCTTTTCCCTTGTGTTGGCCCCCAAAACAACCTTTTGAAGCTAAATGTAAAAAGGCCTGCTGTAACTCCAATCAGTTTGACTACTATAAACATACTCACTTTGTGCTAAAACACAAAAGTAGTTGTGGAAAACTGATTGTGTGAAAGTGCTATTGAATGATGTGAAGTATATTTCATACATAAATAGGGGGTGCATTGTTGGGCCTGGAAACAGGAAGACCTGAGTTCAAACAGGGCCTCAAGCATTTACTAGATGTGTGACCCTGGGCAAATCATTTAACCTCTATTTACCTCGGTTTCCTCTACTGTAAAATGAGGTTAATATTAGCACTTACTTTCCAGGGTTGTTATGAGGATCAAATGAGATAATATTTGTAAAGTGGTCAGCACAGTGCCTGGCATATAATAGACACTTAATAAATCCTTGTTTCCTTCTTTTTATACTCTCTGGATTTAGTTTTATTACAGATCTGAAATAGTCTGACTAGAGATTATTTATAGAAGGTAGACGTCATGAGGGAAAATAAACTTTTTAAAGAGTATTGTGAAATTTTAGCATAAACATTTTTTCCTCAAAAGTCCTACTCTGATGTCTCATTGTGGCATGGAATTTTCAAAGGTTATGCCAACTGAGGCAGGTCCTGCTAAACCTCAAAGACCAGTTATGAATTTTCTCTAGACTGTATGTGTCTTTTGTTCAACAACCAGTCTAACTTAGTATGCACTCATCAGACAAATGTTTTGGCCATAGTAATTCTTGAATACCATTCACCAACTTAGAGAGAGATTTTTTTTGAAGGGGGGGGGATAGGAGAACAAGTGGATAAAGAAAGATAAAGATATAGAAAATATATAGATATAGAAAATAAAGATAAAGAAAAAAGACAAAGAAAGAAAAGCATAGTAGATGATCATAATGATCGTGAATGAAATGAATTCACCCATAAAATGAAGGAGAGTTGCAAGATGGATTAGAAATTAGAATCAAACAGCATGTTTTTTTCTTAATAAGAAACATACTTGAAATATAAATATAAAGATTCATATAGTTAAAAGTGAAGGGCTGGAGCTAAATTTATTATGACTGATAAAAAAAGTTGGGGTGGCAATTATTTCAGACAAGGTAATAATAAAAATAGACATGGCTAAAAGAGATAACCATAGAAATTACATTATACTTAAAAGAATAGTAGAAAATGAAAAAATATCAATATTTCATATAGATCTATACATATTTATATATCTGTATATGCATGTACCAAGTGACATGGCATCTAAGTAGTGAAAGGAAACACTAACATAGTGGTCAAAACTAACATAACTGGTCATATGGCCAGTATAGTGAGAATCAGAATTTGAACCCAGACCTTCCTGATTCTAAAGCAGGCTCTATATCGACTATACTACACATCTTCTCAGTAAAAAAAAAAAATTTTTTTAAAAATATGGACAGAAAATACCACCTATATCTTCACAGTGGTAATTAAGTTTGAATTGTAGAGAGAAAGGGAAGTGGTATCTTTACTCTCTGTTATGTATTTGGCAATTCAGCCTTTCTAAACAGCTTCTGTGCCCTGAAAAGTATTTTTGAAAGCCTTTAGAACTAAAAATTTGAGAGAATCCTGGACTGTTACTGAAGAACAAAGTTGAGTATTTAAGTTATCTTCCTTCCCCACCACCACTTCCATAATGAAAAATCCTTATGTGACATTTTTGAAGGCTGAAGCAAGTAAGAAAGAGATGTGGAACATTCAGTGACCTGAAATGAAAGCCATTTGCTTAGAAATTGAACTTGTTTAACCTCTTTTTAACTGTTACCTTCCTTTTTCCTTCCCCTACTACTGCTTGCATTTCTTCATTCATTTATAAATTTAAAAAAAAATTAAATATTGCCAATATAAAATTCTCTTTATAAGACCTTAAGCTTTTTAGAAAGGAAAACTTTTATGCATAGGAAGTAAAAAAGACAATTTTAGACTTTAGAAAAGGTATCATAAAAATGTTACTTGAGAAAGAAGTGTTGGACTTAGATTTAAAAAGATTAACATTTGAGATTTTTGTTGGATAAAAGGCAGTATGCCATGAAGGAAATTAAACGTTTTTACAACATACAAAAATAAATCTGATTATGGTAGAATTTGGCAATCAATAATATGTCAGTAGTTCTTTTTTGAAATACAATTTGTAATTTTTTAAAAATGTAGTTGTATATGTTTATCTTAAAAATAATACTTAACAAAAACTAAATTTCATTTGTCAGAATACAGACAAAAGTTTTAGATCCACCTTCTTCATCATCTCCAGTGACTTCAACACCTTTGTTTCACATTAAGAAAAATTGTGTTTTATTGATGCTCTCTTTTTAAATATCACCATCACTTCCTGGTGACACCTGCTCCCATCCCACCTTATCACCCACCCCTTCCATCTTAAACCAAACCTTCATTCGGAACAAATTAAGCACACAAATTAACACCTTGGCCATGTCTGATGATATATATGTCTCATTTTGCACCTGCAATCTATGACCTCTGCCAAATGGAGGGAAGTGTGCTTCACTGCTAATCTACTGAGGTGAATGATATTACGTGGTTTTTTTTTGTTGTTGTTGTTCTGAGAACACTGCTGAGAAAATGAAACTTTTTATTTATGTTACTGAATTGAGGCAGTGCAGATTTGGAGGAAAGAACTCTGGATATGGACCTAAAAGAATCCTTCCCCATGTAGCTTTCAGTGTGATTTGAGGGGAGTCACTTGACCTCCCAGGGCCTCAGTTTCCTTTTCTATAAATGAGGGTGTGGGGATTACCTGATTTCTTCCAGCTATGGATTCTCTGATTCTCATAAATCATGCATATGATTAGTGCTTGAGATGTGCTGATTACTTTTTAAACTTTTTCATGGGCGGAGCCTTGAGTGAATTAAACATGTATCCTGGTCACTGAGGGTTAGCCAAACCATAATTTAACTAGTATAATTGTTTCAGATTACAACTCATAAGTTAGAAATCAGAATATTAAAGTTTAAAGAAAACTATTTAACGTGTAAATTCTGTTCCTTTTGATCCACTGATATTATACGTGTATGAATAATTAACACTAAGAATGTTAGTAGATAAAAGCAGCTAACATTTATAGAGTACTTTCAAGATTGGCAAAGCACTTTATGTGTTATCTCATTTGATCCTTACAACAATCCTATGAGATAGGTATTACAGTTATCCTCGTTTCACAGACAAAGAAACTGAAGCCGAGAGAGTTTAAGTGATTTGCCTAGGTGTCGCAAAACTAGCAAGTGTCTGAGGCAGAATTTGAACTCAGGTCTTCGTGACACCAAGTTCAGCACTCTAAGCCTGGAAATGAAGTAGGTTATAATAATGTATATGTGTATTTAGCTATATTTTAAGAACTAATGTTTTTTGATTAATGTGAAAATATGTTTAATATGAATGTGTATGTATACCCTATATCAGATTGCATGCCGTCTTGGGAAGGGAGGCTAGGAGGGAGGGGGAGAAAATTTAAAACTCAAAAGCTTATGGAAGTGAATATTGGAAACTAAAAATAAATAAATTTTATTAAATTAAAAAGAGCTAATGTTTTAAATGTCTGTACAGTGCATCTTATACTCTTGATGACTACACAGGTGACCTTTTCCCTTGAGATGATACTTTATCTGTGTAATATTAAATTGCAGTAAGCCCCCAGACTACTATTTTTTTTAAAGAGTTGGGGACATATTATATAGTGGATTTTTTTTTTATTACTACTTCTAATCAGATTGATTATTGTTACTTTCTGTCCCTCAGGGAACAACCCATCTTCAGCACTCGAGCTCATGTCTTCCAGATTGACCCAAACACAAAGAAAAACTGGGTTCCCTCCAGCAAGCATGCAGTTACGGTGTCCTACTTCTATGACAGCACAAGAAATGTGTATAGAATAATCAGCTTAGATGGCTCAAAGGTTAGTTCTTTTTTTCCTCAAATATTTCTGTCTTGCTCTTGATGCTATAGTATTAAACATTTTTTTTAAGTATTAAATATACTTAAAAATATTACCATCACTGATTCTTCAGGTAATGAAGAAGTTTCACTAAGTTAGTTTGGTCAGTATACCTACTACGCTTACAGATATATACCAGAACATTCAGTAGATTTAAGATGGTTAAATTCAGATAAGCTTCCAGAGTTTATGTAAAAGCCTATATGAATCCTGGTTTGTCCCAGAGCCTATAATTAATACTATACTTGGCACACCTCATTTCTGAAACATAAAGGCAAAAATTCAGAGTATCTTGTTTAACTTTGGTCAGTTTCTCTATCATTGAGAATATTAAAGTTTATATTATTTATATTATATTCACATTAGAGATATGTATATATCTGAATATCAAATTGGCAATATAACATTATATAAAATTGGTGGGAAGGTGTCTCTAGGTGTTTCCTCAGTGAAGATTTACCAGATTATTCTGACCTAGAGTAATGGGGTGTTGTGGCCAAGAACACTGGGATTACAGTAAAAAGAGTGGGATGGAATCCTAACCTGTGTGACTTTGGGTGAATCAATACCTATTCTGAATCTTGGTTTCCTAATTTTTTAAATAAAGGAGTTGATCCAGGTGATTTCCTAAAGTCTCTTCCAGTTTAAAATCCTATAATCCTATTATACCCTTCTGTCTTCTAACCTCATAATGTTCCTCCTTTAAATCACTTTTCTGGCAACTAATCATATATTTATTGTCTTCTGATCATTTCTTCATGATTGTCTTTATTGTTTGATTCTTGTATTATATATGAAATGCCCTGTCACCTAAACTAGATTATAAGCTGCTTAAAAGCAGGATCTTTGACACTTCTCTGTGTGCTTTCCAGTGACTTGAACATAATTAATGAGAATATTTTTGTTCATTGATTTGACTTTAATTTTTCTTTATTAGAACAATGCATGGCCGTTGGCAAAATGATTTGGAGATAGCTACTGGAGCTTCTGTGAAGTTTTACTAAGTCACTATCCTTGTTCTTTATTCTGCATATGTTCACTTGAGTGGAATACACAAAGACAGGGTTCGATACTACTGCTTGGGTTTCTGTCTTGACTGTTTGTTGTTGCTATTTAATCTTTTTCAGTCATGTCTGAATCTCTGTGACCTCATTTGGGGTTTTCTTGCTAAAGATACTGGAGTGGTTTGCCTTTTCTTTCTCCAGCTCATTTGGCAGATGAGGAAACTGAGGCAAACTGGATTAAGTGACTTGTCCAGGGTCACACAACTAGTAAGTGTCTGAGACCAGATTTGAACTCAGGAATATGAGTGTTCCTGACTCCAGGCCTAGGCCTGGCATTCTATCCACTGAGTCACCTTTTCCTATTTAGAATCATTCAGCTTGGTAGTTTTTTGTGATAATAGGGGGTTTGATATCCTTTAAAAATAAAATTTCCTTTAATAATTGATTTGGGTGTTTTTCTGTTCTATATACCATTCTTTTAGTTAGTTTCTTAAATGGATACTGTGAACTAAAGCTCATTTTAGTTCTAAACCTATGAACTACTGCACTGCATTTTTTCTTAACAGACATCACAATTTATTTTATTTATAAGAATGTCTAAGCTGTCTCTTTCTCTGTTAAGCACCTGATTGAGTGATGAAAATCTCCTCAGAATGCCCATACCTCGAAAACATAATCTGATTCTTCTCACTACAGGCCTTTTACTTCACTGTGAATCTAATCTTTGCTTTAAGGCCTTCTAGTAAGGTTGTAAAAACATCAATTTGGTTAAATGTCACAATCAGCATACTATACTTCTATCTGTAATGATACAGCATTTCTAAATTTGTTCCTTAGAGCAAAGAACAGCTGGACAGAAAAATGGGGAAAGGTATATGTATATTTTTAAGTTATAATATGTTACTATCTGAAGACATTTAAGAATTCAATAAAAGTGTATTTATTGAGCATTAGCACATCTAAAATTTCCTTCAAAGTTGAAATAAACTCAAAGTCAATGGGTCAGAGATATGCTAGGTTACAAAAAGGTCAAAAATGAAAATTGAATTGAAATTTCACGTTCTTTACAACCACTACAGTCCCTTCTCTGGTTCTTGTTAGAATTGCTGCCCATTACATTTCTACTCTTTGAGAACTGGTGTGGTTAAAAAAAAGTTCCCTTCCCCTCCCCCAACCCCAGAAAGAGTGTTCATAGATTCAGGGAGGATTGCTGAAAATGATGATGTTAAAACATAGTCACTTGGGTTGACTAGAGAAAGGGCATGGGAGTTGGAGCACCTTGGTTCAAAGCCTGCCTTTGACAAAATCCAGCCCAGCCTCAGTTTTCTCATTTGTAAAATGATGAGTTTGGCCTAGATGACCCCAGAGGTTCCCCCTAGCTCTAAATAAGTGACCCTTTAAAAAGAAGGCACTGTGAGAGTGGACTATTAGAAGGTCCTTAAGAACAAGGACAAGAGAAATAAAAACACAAGGCAGAGCCGGGTAGAATGTTTTTGTCTAGTGTCACAGAAGCAGGCAGTATGCCGTTGGGAATCTGCTGCTGTCGGTAGCCAAGGTCTGAGTTGAGGACTAATTATGAAAAGGTATGTTTTTCAGCTTTTCAGCCTGGTGCCTCTCCATTCCATCTCTTCTCCTGGGAAGGAGTAAGAAAGATCTTAACTCCCTCCCAGATCTTAGTTTCTCCAAGGAGGAACCATAGTCTTGGCCAAGGAATTTTGCGAGAGGTGACAAGAGACACCAGTCTGTATATATAAGAGAGCCTCTCTCTTTATCATCAATATGTTTCATTAAGCTATTTTGGGAGATTATGTACATTCTAAAACTTAAATCCCTTTTATCTCACTTCTGACCCTCCCCCTGCCATTCCTAAGCTGAGAATGAGCTATCAAAATGAGTCTTTGTCAGTAAGATTCTTTGCATAGTGAATAAAAGAAGAAAAATATACAGTTTTAGTTCTCTTGAACTAAAAATAGTGATGTTTGAGGATATGCTTGAAACCTCAAGGAAGTCAACCAATGGATTGAAGTAGACTCCGTCCCCTACACAATGACCTTGCTTGAAATCATCAGGAACATGGTCTTGGCCAAGGAATTTCAAGAGAAGTGACAAAAGACACCAGTCTCTATAGAGAAGAGAGATGAATGGCCTACATATCATTTATTTATTTTCCATTTTCCTTCTTGTATCATTTTTCCCATATTAAATGAATAGAATAATAACATAAAAGATCTAAAAATCTTAAGCATTTTTCTTTTTTCATACATGTGTGCTTATGGTAATGTTCAATTTTTAGGTCGTTCAAAGGGAAGTATTATGGTACAGTAGAAAATCATTAGTTCTGGAATTAGGGGACCTGGGATCCAATTCTGCCTTGAATATGTGATCTTAAGTAGGTCACTTAATTTCACTGGTCTCAGTTTCCTCAACTCTAAAATGAGGAAGTTGGACTACTTGGTCTCTGAGGTTCCCTCTGAGTATTTCAAATCAAATAACAAATCCAGAGTATGAAGGAAGCGTTGAAAAGCTGTCCAGATTTCTTATTCTATTTCCATTTGCTTAGAACTCTTTCCAGTTCTCTAAGCCATTGCTAAGGATAGACCATCATTTTCCCCATACAGATACAATGCATCAGCCCAAAGGAACATAAGATGGCTGATTCATAACTTCCCTAGGGTTGAAAAAAGTAATTAAGTGTTTTGGTTTAAAAGACTTTTTCCTTGTTACCACAGGCTAGGATAAACAAAGACCCTGTTTGTGTCAAAGGGCTTAATTAAGACAAAGTCAGTGACAATACCCTTTAATTCATTTTAGACCTGTGATTTTGTTGTTGTTGCAAGGGAACTTCAGATGAGGAAATTTCTTCCTACCAGTGTGGTTTTGCAACTGATAGTCTTGGAAAGTTGCCTGGAAGAATGGGATTTAAGTGACTTATTCAGGGTCATTAATTCTAAAGCCAGGGTGTTAAAGGAAGGACTTGAACTCTGAACTTCCTGAGTTTGAGTCTAGATCTCTCTCCACTATCCAGTGACCTGAAAATATGTTTTGTTTTTATAATTCTGCAATTCGCATAATCTACCTGAAGTTAAGTATCTTAAGAGTACAGATACATTTCAGAAACAAGTGTTCTGCTGTCCCTGGACTACAACAAAATCTGAAGCTTTCCTGGCTCTCCCACTGATGTGTTTCATGCTATTCGCTGATGATAAATGATCCTTCTCACTTCTAAGCATTTATTGGTGAAGCTTTTTGGAGCCCTAGTTAAAATAAGGCTGACCTAAGTGATACTATTATAAGATTCCTTATTTTCTTCAGGGAAGTTAAAATGCATGTTGAATCTTAATGAAGAGAGATTTTTAATTGAGAGCTCAAAATAAGACTTTAAATTATAGAAGAAGGTGAGTATCTAAGTTAGGTGGATAGGGTTACCTGGTATCATAGAACCTCCCTGTGCTGGGAGGGTCTAGTCTGAACCCTTTCCTTCGTTAGCTGTGTGACCTTCTGTAAGTCATTTCACTTTCTTGGTTCATCAGTTTTCATCTGTAACATGAAGAGTTGGATGAGATGACCTTTATGGTCCTTTCTATTGTTATACAAACTAGAAAATTAAGGCCCTACAAACAAGATGAAGTTTGGAATAAACAATCATTTTCTTAATAAAGTTTGTATTTGAGAAGCATTTAATTAAATGTATAGTAATACAGAAATTGAAAAAAAGTTTGAACTTTTAAATGTTAAATATTTAAAAGTTTTTATATTTTCCATCTTTGTTGAAATCTCCGATTTAATTAAATTAAATTTGTTTTTTTAAAATATGTTTAAATATTTTAATGTTGTTTGCTAGGCTTCTCTTACCTAAAGAATGAGAAGATAGTCATGCTTGGTTATCTAGTATACTCTCTCTATATGTGAAGTCAACAAGCATTTATTAAGTGCCATTGTATACTTTACTAGTACCCATATAACTGATATAAGGCCTTTTACTCTGTAGTATTATGTATGGATGCACACATATATATAACTACATAAATATACCCTTTGTTCTTTAGTGGCACTCTCAAAATTCTTATTCCTTCATAGCCAAATGGAGATCAGCCCTATGTCAGAGGAGCGGTGTAGTCAGCTTCTACAAGATTGTGAACAGTTATATCTCAGAAACTGGCAAACACTACAGACCAGGGCTAGAGTTATTATTTTGTTGATGATGGAGAAAATGTTAATAATGCAGATTAATCTTTTTTAATTGTGTTTTTCCCCAATTACATGTAAAAACAATTTTCAACTTTCATTTTTTTAAATTTTGCATTCCAAATTCTCACCTTTCCTCCTACCCCTCCTCCCTTGCTGAGAAGGTAAGTGATCTGATATAGGTTATGTATATGCAATCATATAAAATATATTTCCATATTAGTCATATTTCCATGTTAGTATTTTATAGAAGAAAACTTGAAACCCACCCCCCTCCAAAAAATAAAGTGAAAAATAGTATATTTCTATCTGCATCCAGACTCCATCAGTTCTTTATCTGAAGGTGGATAGCATTTTTCATCATGAGTCCTTTGGGATTGTCTCGGATCATTGTATTGCTGAGAATAGCTAAGTCATTCACAGTTGATCATCGTACAATATTGCTGTTACTGTGTACAATGTTCTCCTGGTTCTGCCCACTTCACTCTGCCTCAGTTCATGTAAGTCTTTCCAGGTTTTTCTGAAATCATCAATGCAGATTAATCTTAAAAGTATGCCATGTGAGCATTTTTTTCCCTCAGAAAGCTGGTTATTAAACACTTAGTCCACACTGCTGATTTTCCCTATTATTATAGTTCACCAGTTCAACCTAGATTTTGGTGGATATTAGATAGTTGACTGAAAAGAGTTGAATTCTATTTACCTACAGGACTGGAATAAGGTCCTTTAGATTGGACTCATGTAGTTACATTAATCTTGGTTCCTATGGGTTATCACTCAGTTAACAACAGACTGGCTATCATAGGAATGTGAGTTTTCTATAAAACTACACTGCTAAGCAGAAATTATAGAGCTTTTTGTTGTAATAATTTTTTTTAATAATACATTCTGGAAAATGAAGGTATATTTCTTTCTTTCAAAAAATAAATATAGGAAAATACATTAAATGAAATATTTAGAGATTTCTTTAATCTTTATTCTGGTTCAGTTAGCTCAGTTCTTTGGAATATGATGCTAATGAGCTTGTGGGTTTGATCCTCCATATGGTCTAGTTATCTTCCCAAAGAAATACTCCTACGGACTTTTACCCTTAACCCCAGCAGCTGTCTTAAAAATACATACACTTGGATACAGGAAGAATGGTGAGAGTGTGTACATAGTTTGTTGGAGCTAGTCACTGCTCTGGAAAGCTCTCAGAGTGCATGTCCTACTAATGCTGGGTGAATAGCATCATTTTGTGTATATAGGACCAAGAACACAATATTTGTTTTTGTCCATAACCCTCACACTTACTTTCTCCTCTTGCTTTTAAAATTTAATCTTGTTTTAGTTATTTTACTTTGCCAGGTCAAACCTTCAGAGGGGAAAGGAGGAGGTGAGACACTTTAAATTGTCCTTTTTCAAAAATATTCAGTTGAAATATTTGATGGGGAAGGAAGTAGTAGTCAGTCATTAAAATGCCTTTTGCTAACTGTGTTCAAAGTTTGACTTGATATTCAGATGATTGTATTTTCTTTTTCAGGCAATAATAAATAGCACCATCACCCCAAACATGACTTTCACTAAAACATCTCAGAAGTTTGGCCAATGGGCAGACAGTAGGGCAAATACTGTCTATGGTTTGGGATTCTCCTCTGAGCATCATCTTACAAAAGTAAGTTAAATCATTAACCCTAAATGAAAATCTGTTTATTTCAGTCTTTAGAAGATTTAAATAATATATAATATTAAACTTATTATAAGATGCAGAAAACAAAGATAGTAGATATTTTGAGGGTCCTAATTCTGGGGCATCTCATAGTTAAACCAGAAGATTATAAAATCAATCAACCAACAAGCATTTATCAAGTGCCAGGCATTATGCTAGGAAATGGAGATACAAGATCAAAACAAAGTAGTCCCTGATAGCCTCGAATTTGCATTCTAACAGGGAAAGCATGTACATGATTATGTAAATACAAACTGCGTATTTGTGTTTTGGGGAAAAGTAATTTGGGGAGCTCAAGAAAGTCTCATTTAAAATATGGCACTTGAGCTGGGGCAACTAGGTGGTGCAGTGGATAGAATGACAGACCTGAAGTCAGGAAGACTCCTGAGCTCAAATCTGGTCTCAGACACTTACAAGCTGTGTGACCCTGGGAAAGTCACTTAACTGTTTGCCTCAATTCCTCATCTGTAAAATGAACTGGAGGAGGTAATGGCAAACCACTCCAGTATATTTGCAAAGAAAACCTCAAATGGGGTCATGAAGGGTTAGACATAACTGAAATGAGTGAACAGCAACTTGAGCTGAGCTTTGAAGGAAGCCTAGGGTTTCCACAAGGCAGAGATGAGGAGTGAGTTCATCCCAGACGTGACCGACAGCCAGTGCAAAGGTGCAGACATGAGAGATAGAATGCTGTGTACAAGAAACAGCAAGTTAGTCCAGTTTGGACCATGGGGGTTATAGAGGCAATAATGCATATTTAAACTGGAACTAGGTTGTGAAGGGTTACAAATCCTAAAGAGAGGTGCTTATATTTTATCCTAGAAGTCAGGGTTCCATCAGTTTTTTGAGAAGGGAGTCCTATGGTCTGATTTATACTTTTGGAATGTCACTTTGGCAACTACATGGAATACAGATTGAAATAGAAGAATATTTGAAGCTGGGAGAGTAATTAGGAGATTATTGCAGTAAGCCAAGGATAAAAGGGGTAAGGACTTGAACTAGGGCATTGGCCATGTGAGTGGAGGAAAGGGGATGCTTTTGAGAAATATTTTGGAGAGAAAATCAACAAGACTTGGGTGTATGGTAGAGGGGGAGTGATCAAGGAGGAAGAATTGAGGATGATTCTGCTTGTAGACCTGAATGACTGGAAGCATGATGATACCTTCAACTGTAATAGGGAAATCTGGAAGAGCTATGGGGTTTTTTGGGGCTAGGATAAGAAGTTCTATTTTGGCCATGAGTTTGAAATGCTTATGGGAATTCCAGTGGGACATATCCAATATGCAATTGGTGATATGGTAACAGAGGTCAGTAGAATAGCTAAGACAGAATGTAGGAATCATTCATAGAGAAGATTGAGCCCAAGGGAGTTGATAAGATCACTGAGAAAAGAGTATAAAGAGAGAACAAAAGAGGGCCCATGAAAATCTTGAGGCATGTCCATAATTAGGGATAATGACATACATGGATGATGATCCCACAAAGAGTGTGGAGGAGTAACCAGGCAGGTAGGAAGAGAGAACCAAAGAAGAGCAGTGTCACAAAAACCCAGAGCGGGGAAAGAGTGATTCAGGAAAAAAGGGTGGTCCTAAGTATCTCATGCTTTGGAAGTTAAGAAGGCTGAGGACTAGGAAGAACCCACTGGATTTGTCGATTATGAGAAGATTAGTAACTTTAGTTTGTGAACTGAGGCCAGAAGCCAGATTTCAAGAGCTTGAGAAGTGAATGAGAGGAAAGGAAGGGGGGACAAGAGTGTACAGAGCTTGGCTATGAAAAAAAGGATTATGAAACAGTGGCCTTAAGGGACAGTTTGGTCAAGTATAGAACAGTAGACTGAAAGAATGGTGGATTTAAGTGAGGGTTTTTTAAGGGTGAGAGTGTCTTGGGCATCCTTGTAGGCATTAGGGAAGGACCCAGCAGATACAGGCTGAAAATTCAAGAGTGGCATAGACTTGGGATCAAGGATGCGAGTAGAGAAATCAGCCTTGGTGAAGAAAGGAGCCACTTCTTCATCAGAGACAGAAGTAAAAGCAGAGAATGGGGATGGTGTCAAAGGGTTTGGAGAAGTTGAGTAGAGGAGAAAAGGGAATTCAGGGTACACGGCCTCCTATTTTCTCAAAAAATGAGGTAAGGCCCGCTGTTGAGGGTGTGGTGTGTGGGACGCTTGAGGAAAGAATAGAAAGCTTGGAGAAGTTATTGTGAGAAATACATTTAGAGAGCTAATTATAGTCATGGCATCATAGCTGTACATCTAGAAGGGGCCTTAGAGCTCATTGTCCTCATTTTACTAATCAAGAAACTCTGGGTGAGAGAAATAATGTGATTTGCCCAAGGTCACATAGACAGTAAGTAGTGGAAAGAGGGATTTGAACCCTGTTTCTTTGACTCCGGTAGCGTGGCATATGGAAGAGGGAACTGACCTTGAAGCCAGGAGAACCTGGGTTCAAGTCTCTTCTCTGATACAGACTGACTATAGTTCCCCGGGCAAAGCATGTCACCTTTCAGAGTCCAAGATGCAGACAGTGTGCTGACTTACCTTAATAGAGGGTCTTTCTCCTCCTGGGAGTTCTCTATACCATTGAAAACACAGGTCCGTTGCCTTGATTCAAAAATCTGTTACTTTCTGAGCTCTCATCTAAATCCTCCGGAAAAGATGGCTAATTTCTGTGAAAAAGTACATTGGCTTGGAATTAGGAGGATTGCTTTGTCACCTGTTGAGAATTCACTTAGATTGAATAATCATTCAGTGCCTTTGATCTGCAAAACACTCTCTCTGCTGGGGATAGAGAGATGTTGAGGTATAGCTCTTGCCCTCAAGGAATTTACAATCTAATAGTCTGTTATACATTCACTGTTTGTCAGGAAAATGTACCTGCAATGAATTTTGAATAGAATGGTTTATATCTGGCAATCCGCTTTTGCGTTTAACATGATAATGACAAAATAATAGATAAAGTTCAGCATTTTTGTTGTTTGATCTGTTCTGTGGTTCTTCTTTTCTGTTTCCTTCAGGTCTCTTTTCCAAACCCTTTAATTTTCTCAAGTTTTGCATTGAGCATGGATCCTTTTAGATCTTGTACCAAAATCATCATGGGGAATAGTATTTTTGTGTTTTGACCTGAGGGCTCTAGACAATTTCATGGCCAACTGATGAAAGTTATATGAAGCCTAGTGTCTGTTCTTCCTTGGGATGAAATCCATGGATGATCTCTGTCTTCTTTTCATTTCAGACCATTTTGTTCTCCAGCTGGAAAGTTCTTCAGCAAAACGCCCTCTTAATAGCCCTTAAAGTAGAGCTTTTCATGCAGTGAAGTATGTAATATGCTTTAAAACAGCTAAATTAAAAATGTGAACCATAGAGATTAATAGACGATCTCTAAATAAAGCAACAAGGAGATTTTCAGTCTTCATTTACCCCCAAAGCTTCACAACAAATATCACTGTGGGATTTATTCCAACAAGATACTTGCTGTTCATCTTTTAGAAAAAGGCAACTTCTCAGTAACTAATTTGCTCAATAGTCAGCATGTGATAATCATACCTTCAGCCTAACATTAGATTATTTGGATTGCTTATGATGGGAAGCAGACAGGAAAGAATTAGAAGTCATGTCTTTTTTTTTGAAAAAGAAAATTCCAATGATGTCTGATCCTCAAAAGGTCTTAACAATAATTTTTTAAAAATAGAGGACACCTTGAAGTTTTTTCAGATCATATAGCTCTTGAAGTATTTGAGTATAGGCTCTCTCTTATAAAGGAAACCTTATGACCTCTTTAACTTGGGGCTTTACCACATTGTCAGACTGCACTGTCTTGTCGATGACCAGGATCATGTGATCCAAGTGAACTGGCCCACGGAGGAAGAAATATTACTGCCATATTCTTTTTTTTTTTTTTTTTTTTTACAGCAATTGGGGTTAAGTGACTTGACCAGGGTCACACAGCTAGTAAGTGTCAAGTGTTTGGTCTAGGCCAGATTTGAATTCAGGTCCTCCTGACTTCAGGGCCGGTGCTCTATCCACTGCATCACCTAGCTGCCCCCTACTGCCATACTCTTGCTGGGACAGTTGGCCCCTAAGATGATAAAGTAGCAGGGCTAAGTGGTCACAAGTAAACATGAAAGTCTCCTGGATTCAGTTTGGATAAGCTTTTAAAAAGGAGTTCACTATAGAATTTTTCAAGTTTGTAGGTGATGTTTTAGGGATTGTGGGAATAGGAAGAAAAATGGTAGAGCAGACTGAGCATAAATGGATATGAGGGCAGTATACTTAGGAAGAAAGAATCCACGGGATGAAGGGCTTGGTGCCTATCATTTGTGACCCAGGAAAAAGAAGATTATGGCCAAAAAGACCAATTAAGTTCACAGTATCATCAGGAATGGTATTGTAAACCCAGAAAATACTCATCCTTCCCTTAGATGAAACCATGCTGCATCCATGCTTATCATACTCCGTGCTTTTGACTTTCACACTTTAAGAAAGTTATAGCAAAGCTAGAGAAAGTCCAAATACTTCATGTGCTTACAATCATCCATTAATCTTGTGCTTTTCTAGATTCCAGTTTCTCTCCTAGACTTTATTCTGTGTCTTCAGAACTCCTTCAGTGTTTAATACTCAATATGTTTAATTTTTAATTTATATAAGAAAAATTTACAACCGACTACCATATGGGGAAATTATTTCATAACCAAAATTAAAATAACTCTCCTAAACATTTTCATTTATGTTTAGACAAACTTAAGCTTGATTTTCTCTAGTTGATCTAAATGGGCTAAGATGAGTTCTTTACCTTTTTGACGTCATGGCTGGCTCTCCTTGGGCAATCTGGTAAAGCCCAGAGACCTCATTAGCATTATGTTTCTAAGTGCATTAAATAAAATACATAGGATAATGAAGGAAACCACTTACAGTGAAATTCAGTTATCAGGTTTGTTTTTATTCTTTTTTT